TGAATTCATTGGTGCTTTTGCATATTTAAAATTAAGCAAGCACTTAGGTGGTTTTATCTGGATCAGGCCCAGTTCTCAGTGTCTAATGAAACCAAGTCCAAACTCTGCTGCTTTGTTTTACTGCGTATTTGCATGAACAGTTCTAGTGATGACCGTAACAGCCTTCCTTGACACACTTCTGGTTTTTTATTAGGATATGTTTACGAATACTCAGTTCAGAACGTCCCACTGTTCCTTTTCCATCAAAGCTGGAAAAAGTTCCGTCCAACTTGTTTTTTCATTTTTGCATGTTCACAGTTTCCAGGTTTTTCTGTTTAAGTGGAGGTGACATTTGATCTAAAACCAGAGCTATTTTAGAACATTATGATAACTATTTTTAGAAATCCTCTAAATAGCCCAGGATCCAATTTTTAGAAACAGAATCTACAAACAATCTACAAAATATTCTTCATCTGAGTTTGTGCTATCAGTGATGATCCGTATCATATTCATTTATGAATATATTGATGAATAAGTGTACAATGAATACATTTCCAGGCAATATGCAAACTGGGCAGCTACCCAGATAGGAGATTTGGGCATGCACAATGAATGTATGTGCTTCACCTGGTTTGAAAGTGCAAAGGAAAAAATGCATACAAATGTGTGTGCTAAAACCAAGCAATTATTTCATGTATTTTTTTTCCACTCATTACTTAAGGTAGAAGGATGCGGGGACTTTCTAATGCTGTAGAAGATCTTACTCTGGCACATACCGTGCTGTGAGATCATGGGTGCAAGACATAATTTACGGGCAAAGTTTGCGTTTTCAGTGGAGCGTTCTGAGCATGGCGTAGGCGTTTTTAATGGAGGTAAAGTATGAAGGCCTCTAAGTGGATGGAATTAGCTGTTCACATGCAAAAACAGCCCCCGTGGTTCAATCAAGAAAAGCCACCTTTGTCAGCAGCTGGAACAAAGCAGGAGATGGGCCCTCTGCCCTCTCAGGTGGAAGCGATGTGACAGGTGGCCCAGCAGCAGAGGCTGTCAGCAACAAGAGGAAAAGGGAGAAAAATTAGAAAAAAAGACCCTGCCAACTCATTTTGATAATCAAAGAAAATACTTTTTTTCTGAGCTATGTATGCCTCTTCTAACAATGGCAATAATTGCTCTCCACCTTCGATTAGTTAATGATTGCTGTTTTATTTAATAAATTGGATACAAAATAAACAAGTTACAGTTTGCTATTGACCTATCAATTATGATGTCTGATTACTCCTCTGGGGAGCATATGTAGTCATTTGTCCTGACATTTTGTTAAAATAAGGTGGTATTATGGGACCAATCCACCTAATTCCTTACTCCCCGGGGCCATTTAGTGTACTTAGCTGTTAGAAAGGTGATTTCTGAAGCATGACAGCTGTTGGTGTTGGGGCCATTGTGCGGTGAACAAAAACCGTTATATTCTACTCATATGCTGCCTTTGCATCATTGATACAGAGGCCATTTCATAAATTAGATACAACTCTTCCCTAGCAAATTGTGTTACTGCTTTATGTTTCATTGTTGGAGTATATTTAAAAAAAAAAATAACAGCACTGCTGTGGAAGGAGATATTTGAACTTGGCATAGCTGTAAGGTCTGTTTGGTTTATTCTATTAGCTGCTGACATTCCTGTCTAGTTATTTTGGTTGATTAGATACATTAGAAGAAGTTTCTCTTTCTGTTCCTTTTACCATTTTATTAATTTTGTTAAAAGCTGCATTTCAGTAAAAACCTCATAATAAGTTTTCCCCTAGAAGGCATTGCTTTTTTTAGAAAGGTACAGCGCTCTCAGTGTGCAGCATCTAATTGGAAAAAGCCTCTCAAAATCCTTGTCTGCAGAGTAAAGGGGCATTCACTGCATATGTTATTACACTTAGTTTGTGCCAGAGTTTTGCAGATAATGTTTATTCAGGGAAGTTATTTTACTAGAACAGCATTTGGAACATGTAGGCCCTTCTGCAGGAGCACTAGATTAAGTCTGAAATCCAACTCACCTGTGTTGTGCGAGGATTTCTTTCACTCCTGGTAAATGCTTAAATGTCAGAAATCAGAAGGATATATCTGAACATTCAAATGACATTCTCACTGTAAAACTGAGGGCCTTTTGATTTGTTATCACTTGAATGACCATGTATATTTATATATGCAGATATAAAAAATTCTTGCTGGACAATGGACCTTTTAGCTCAAAATGCAGTTAACAGCCTATTTCAAAATAGCAGTTCTACCTGAAAGCTTTCTTCCTATAAAGAAAATAACACCTAAACTGGTATTTCGGATCTGTTTGCATTCCCTGTGTTTTCAACAAGTTGTATGTGCATCTGACAGCTCTGGATTCACAAAAAACTAACATTCAGCAATGGGCCGTTGTTCAGTTGGCTTTGATTCAACGCACTCATATATGTGAGCTTAACTATAAAGAAGACAAGTGTTCTATGGCAGTAAAAGAAGATCTTTGTCATAGGGCAGATCTTTAGGTATTTATATATTATATTTCCAGTTATTTCATTGGAGTTGCACCAGTGGAGTAACTAGAAATCTAATATATAAATGCTCTCACCATTTGAGTAGCTACCAAACCATCCCAGCTGCTTTCAGGACCAGAGTGTAATAGCTCTGCTTGTGGGGAGGACATAAGAATTGCCAGACAGATTTTAAAAGAACTGTAGTATCTGAAATTACTTTTGACATTTTTTTAAATGGACCAGACTTCAAGGTAACTGCCCCATTGAATCTAATGATACTCAGAAAATCCTGTTTAAGAGTTTTCTTTTTGCAAACTGAATAAATTGGAGCACAACAGTTAGGATTTAACTACAGTAGCCTCAACGCGCGGTTGTGGTACTATGAGACTTCCATGTCAACACTTGCAGAACAATGCCAAATGTTATAGTCAGGGTTTGTCCATTTAGCAAGCTGCTAGAAACTTAGTGCAAACTTTATTTTAAGCACTGTCTTTAGATGGAGGGATGCCATTAATAATTTTCATCAGGTTTTTTCATTTAAAAAAATCTTTTCTACACACGTGCAATGTTGAAATGTTATAGGTGTGTTTTAATTTATAATTAAAACTTTTTTTTAGCAAAGTTCTGCCATAAGAAATGCTTAACCACCTTAAAAAGTACTGGCTTTGTGTTAGGTTGTTAAGGTTGTTAGTTTGTTAGTAGAAACTTGTATTTTATATGTAACAATAATTTGGGCAGCAGGACAATCTGTTCTATGGCTGAGTCCTGATTAGTCAAACCATTTCTCCCTGCAGGGTTGCCTGTGAGACTGTGGAAATGTGCTAGATTTCATACACATGACTTCTGAATTAAGCAGTCTACCACAGGCTATTATATTTTTTAGGCTATCTTCTGGAATTTTCTTAGTGGAGTCCAATCACAGAGATTAATCTAGCTTGCCACTGGATGTCATCGTTGCACTGTGAAGAACTACAGCTGGGAGAACATTTATCTGGCAGTAAAAAAAAAAGTTGCCTGACCAGACCACACATTTAATTCTGCCGCATTCTAAATTATTTGCCAAACAGGGATGATGACAGTTTGCAAGTAGTGGACCCGTATTCCTTTCTTAAGATATAGGAAAGCACTCTAGCGTGGTAGGCGGACAATTCCCCGGCTTCTGTAGTGAGCCTGTGCTGAAATCTCAGCAGTGGGTCTCTACAGTTGCAAAGACGCGGTACTAAAGATCTCTCGGGAATCTCAGTGTCCCAAGTACTTCTTGAGAAGGCCAACTTCATTAGAGTAGCTTTAAAATACAATACTTAATCTTCATATGTTAAGTTATTTTGTCAACTAATACACAGAGAGTATATTTCTACTGTAATTTCATAGGAGAAATTTAGAGGACATAATGCTATTAACCCTCCACCTCTTATTAGTAATAGAGGAAGACCTGTTAGAAGTCGTAGGCTGCTTCCTAAATAAGTGACACTGCAGAAATGTATAGGAGGAGGAAAGTGTCTGACAGATAATAAAAGTAGATCTGTTTTCTATTTCTCCCTTCAGTGCATCTGTGAATCTACAATTATGCATTCTGTGAAATGTGTGCAACCCAAAACAATAACAAAAATGTCAAGTGTGTTGTACTTCAAGATGGAAAACACCTCCCTGTCTTTTTTTTGAATACTATATACAGTGCAGGGCAGAAGAAAAAGTATTTCTGTCAAATGCACTATTATCTCTTGATCCTTTTTATTTTACTTTTTTTTTTTCCTGGAATCTTTCAGTTAGCTAGGGAAACCTAGAGGCACCAATAAAAAAAAATACATGGAGTTTATTGTCTCAACCACTGTATGTTTTAGAATAATGGAAACTGTGAAGCTATTAATTAACTCATTTATAGCAAGATTTTTGGCCAGAGTATTGATCTCAGCAGCATTGTGCTAGTCTACCCGTTTGACAGCCTGGTTTTCAGTGTAACTGTTCTAATAGCTTTAACGAAAAAGAAGATTAATTTTATCATTTTGGGAGAGAGAGGGTTTACAATGTGCTAATTGAACCGATGAAGGCTTTCAAGATATAAGCTCTTAATTAATTTACAAGTAACATCATTTCCATAAATAAAACAGCAAGAGGAAAAAATTGCTCCAGAAGGTACAAAAATGGTCTCAACATCATGTAAATATGTGCTCCCCAGGTGTTAGCTAAATGGTAGTAAATTATAGAAGAGGCAGTTTCAGCCCCTCTTACAAAGACTCCATAGCCTCTTTTCCAAGAAAAGCAGACCATTAAGCTCTGCTAGTTTTCTGTGACCTATTAAAGATTCACATATTTCAACATTTTTAGTACCGTTTATCTACTCTGTTATCTTGTGGTGTGCACAGGAAATGCATAATGTTAGTCATGTCAGTGAGCCGTAGTAAGTTTTCTATGAATGCAAGGTAATGCATTACTAATGGCTAAATTATTCTTAGCAGACTTTTGTTGTTGTTGTTTTTTAATGTATTTCTGTATCATTCTGCATTTCTTTTACAGTTGAGTTATGCTCTGAACTACATAAATCGAAAGCTGACACTAGAATCTAAAGTGTCTATCAACACTAGAATTGTGGTGGTTGGAGCATCCAATGTTGGAATCTCTTTTCTGGAAACGCTCATTTTTTGGTAAGTGTTTTATTTGGCTTCCTTTTACTGAGAAGAATATGCTACCTTTCTGAAAGGGCTTGCTTCTTCCATGTAGGATTCAAGTCAGGCTGTTTCTTTTGCAAAAACAGAAATGTGCTTTGGGCCTGTATTCAAATACTAGATGTTAAAAGCTCTAAGCATCTAATTTGCAGTTGTAAAGCGATAGGTGTCTCCATCCTGACTGACCCTGGAATTCGAAAGTGCTAATAAGATTGCTTGAGCATGCCCTCAAAGTGAAGGCACATTGAAAATCAGGATGCCGCTGCAGCATACTTAAAATCTTTTTGACTACTGTTCTTATACAAGGGTACTATAGATGGAGATTAAGTTCGTAGCCCTTCATATGTGCACCAAAGCACTACTGATCTTTAAAGCTAGTTCTGCCCAGTGGAAATGCAAACCAGTGTCTGAATCCCTCCATTCATTTACCTCATTATGATATATTGTTTTCAGAGCTGTGCAAAAATATCCAAAGAAAGCTCAGTCCTAATCTTACTGTGATGTTTTTAAGCAAAAAGTACCATACCTTTCACTCTGATGAGTCTCATGGTGTTTGGGAGTGTTTGGGAACCATAAAATTGCATGAAATTGTAAATCAGCTGTATAAACTTGACTGAGAAGGGGAAAAAACGTATGTGTTTAATATCTACCACTGTCTGAGCTAGAGTAAACTTCGGGATGTGCCAAGTTTTGTTGTTTTAGAGACTTTCAAAAGTTAAGCACAAATGTTATTTCAGGTCCAGTTAAGTCATAGCCTTTTCACTGGAATATTTAAGCACTCATTTTGGACCAAGTAGTTCATCATATAGCAAAATCAAAAAAAAATCTCAGGACTGGATAATGAACATTTCAATACCTTCAGCTACCCACCAGTGGTATTTTCAGTTTCTCTTCTCATTTGAATTGTCACTTATGAAGGGATGGAGAAAAAATTGGGTCTGCACAAATTTCTTGATAGCCATAGACACTGGGATCTGAGTGAAGCTCAACATCCTATGGTCTAGAGGAATTCAGAACAGATGATCTGATGACCCCATCTGGTCTTAAATGGCATGTTTAATAAGAACATAAAATAGCAGTTCTATGTGAACAGAATTTAGGTCAGATTCAGGTTATAGGAAGTTTATTGAATGACTGTAGGAGATTTATTCCATGATAACTCTGACCACTGGATATAGCAAAACGGGCATCCTATTTTCCAATAATACACTGCTCAAAGTAAAAGGGTCCATGTTTCTATATACTTTGCATGTTTATGTAAAGTTCACAGGTGAATTGCAAAGCAAAACAAAATATCCCTGCAATTTGTCATCGCTACTGGTTGTATGAATGTGCAGGTAGCAAGAAAGGAAGTTTATCCTAGAGCCCTCCTTTTCCAGTGGCCCTCTCTCTGATTTATCACTGCTTACTCCTTCTATTCCAGTACACCTCCATGCCAATGTTATGGGTTTATCAGAAGGTCAGATTATATATGTGAGAATGCAATTCTTTTTATGCAGTTCTTATTTTCTGCCTAGATTAGATGTATGTAAAGGTGTACTAGAAACGGCCTGAAAAGATTACAAAAATTAATGTAAAATTCCAATCTTGAATGTGATCATGACAACAAAGTGCTTGTTACAAAAACTAAGGACGTTTGGCATTTTTATGGTGGGCAGAGAACGGAAGATTTTGCCCATTTTTTCAGTTGAGCTAAAAGTTTGGTATTTCTACAACCATTAGTGGCATCACAAGTTAAAATGTCAATATAGTGAGAGAAAAAAAGGTAAATTGCTTTATGAATGTTATTATATTACTAGAGCAGTGAAGAAACAACATCTGATTCTTGTACTTCTTTCTTGGTGCCTGACTTTTTCATACAGAGCATCCCTTTTGGGATAAACATTTTCTTCTCATCCTCTTGTCTTCAGCACCTTTTAAACTTCCAGTCCCATTCAAAGTTCAGTTAAAAATGTATTTCAGAGCTGTTAACTACTTCCTTGTTATTCACCCTGTGCTGTTTATTATTACCCTTTCAGTATATAATACTGTGAGGGAGAAACAAAGTACATCTATGCCTGTTTTACAAATGAGGAACTGCAGTCACTTAAGACAGAATATTTTGCCAAGATCAGACAGAAAGACTATAAAGCGTCTAAACTCTAACCAGGTACCTCAGCCAGGGGCTAAGTCTTCTTGTAGTGAATAGGCCATACAGATAGTGTCAAGTCTGTGGGGAGAACCTTTATACTTCTGAGGTGTTACCTCAGCCAAGACTTTTCAGTCAGAAGTATTATTTGAACCATATTCTAATGAGGGGTTCTTGCAGGACATGTCCTTCTGGTACACAGAAGTGCACTTGTCTTCAGCACCTACAAATGGAGTGCCTGCATTTATGAGAAATCGAGTATTGCTCTGAGAACCCAAAAAGCAAGCAGTCAGTACTCAGTGCAAAATGCTACAGAATTTATATTAATTTATGTGTCAGTTTAAGAAAGATTTTGTTTTTAATTTTCACAGAGCAACAGATAAAGTCTCCTGATCAATGTGAAGCCCTTTTAATACAATTTAGCTTAATTTACTCATAATTTTCTAATATTCTTTGCAAAGGTTACATGCACTAAAAATAGCTGAATTGAATCAATTTGTAAGCCCCTAATCCTTAAAAAGAGGAAGTCGTTTTCGCCTCATTATTCTTCATACTTAATTATTTTACATTAGCAGTCACCATGGAAACACCTGAATGTAATTCACTTACCTACATAACAATTATTAGAACTAGATTTTACAAGTGATTTCAACTTGAGACTCAAGAAATATATTTTTCATTAAATACTGAAATAATGATGAGAATAACATCTCTTCACTAGAGAGATGCAGAGAGCTGCCTCTTAATCCCATTGTGCTCCAACAGTAGCATTGTAGTTCACCGAAAGTCCATCTGAGGCAGAGTGTTCCAGTTATTCTTCCAGGGAAGTTCAGTGCTCTCGCTGTTCGAACGTACCACAGAGCGGCCTTGAACATTGCTCCTTATCCACCAGAACACAAAAAGGAGCCTTCTAATCTGTGCTGCAAGTGACCGAGGTGGTCTGTGAACTCTTGCCTTACAAAATGCTCCTTAAACCTTCCACGGATTTTCGCTGCGCTGAGGAGAGTTAGCGTTTCTGGAACCACGAAGACTGGCGCAGAGGTCGGAGCAGTGGTGCGCCCAAATCGGTGTCAGTTATTTCACAGGACGTTGCAAAAAAGCTGTAAATGAGTATACAGAATCACCTGCTAGTCTGGGGAGCCGCTTCCCAACACGCAGGGTGCCCCGAGCCCTGGAGTATCGTATCTGTTGTGCTTAATCTAATGTAATGTGAGGGAAGGTGATCTCATTGTTCCTGTTTCACCATTCAAAGAGATAGCTCATGCTGGATTTTTTTCTTGACTGTAATTGCATTCAGACACGTGTTTTCAGCTGCAGTGCTGCTTTTCTTTAGTATGCATGAGATCTTTTTATTCAAGAAGCGGGCGAGTTATGAAGGAGGCAGTCCTAGGCAGTAACACAGGCAGAGGGAGAGCGTCCGAGCCGAGCCTCCGTTCTCCCGCGTGGCCTGCGCTGCTTGTGAGTCTGGGTACAGATGTGAGGGCAGCCTTGGAAGGCCCGTGCCTCTCCTCCTGCGCGCCGTGCGAGGCGAAGCGCCAGGCCAGCCACCACAGCCCGCCTCATAAATTGCTGCAGTAATTAACTTCCCTGCAGGAGCACGGCAAGCAGGGAAGGGATTGTGATTTCCACAATTCCTGCAGGAGGCTCCTCCTGGGCAGTGCAATTACATGCTTCCCCCTTGCACAAAGCCAGGACTTAGGTCACTCGCCAGCACTAAGACAAGGCTTAAATAAATTGCAGCAACATCAGACCGTTTGCTAAAGCAGTGTAAAGTCTCGGTGCTGGTCAGGCCTAACGGAGAAGTAGCAACTGAACAAACGCTCCTTCTGCGACAAAGCAATTCAGCCCAGCAACACGGAGTCTCAGCCTCTATTGTTCCCTGCCCTCCCAACTCCTACTGCTGATTGGCGCCCTCGCCTCCCCTTTGTTGTAGGGTGTCGGGAGAAAACCCTTGCGGTGTCAGGGTGAATCAAGTCAAAGAAACTCCAAAAACCAGATTAGAAATGCAAGTTTTGTTATATTTCTTTCTTCTTAA